ATATACAATAGTTTTTTTGAAAATTTAATAGTGGAGATAGGCAGAGCTTTATAATATTTTCTTACTAGGAAGAACTCAAAAATTAGTACTTATTTAGAAATTAGACTAAGAATGGGAGATAACCAACAGAAGGAATGTGTGCTGTAGCACATACTGTAAAAAGAATGGGCAACTGGCAGGGTGACAGCCAGTAGAGGGGGTGATAGACAGGACAGGGGACAGGTGACAGCCCCGGCCCCCTTTTGGGAGGTAAAAAAAAGGGAAAAAAAGGGAAAAAAGAGAGAAAAAGAAAAAATGATAGCCCAGAATGCCTCAAATGTTATGTTCGGGCGTCTAGAACACAAAAATTTCGCGGGGGCATGCCCCGGACCCCCTACGACAGTGTTGTCTCAATCGGCCCAACTTTCGGCCCCCCTTCCGGCCCCCCCCCCTTTTGGACATTTCTGGATCCGCCCCTGATATCCATGGCAGGGAAGGGATGACAGGCCAAGCAGGGTGTCTTCTTGACCTAACTGTTCACTCAAGTTAAGAGAACTGGGAAAGGAATTTATCAAGAGATAAAAACACAATGATTTATTCCTTCAATCATCCAAGACAGTTTAATAACTTCAATGACTGATAAAGTTTGATCAACTCACTTCTCGTTTGTAGCGTTTATGAAGCAATTCTATATCCTCTGTTTGTTGCCTCACTACTGCAAAAAGGAAACCCATATAAATTAAGCATACTGACACTGAAATTATGTTAATGAATAAACACAAATGGAGGTCCAAATATCTAATCCAGCTGGCTCCTACAAAAACTGGGTTGTCAACATTTCATTATGCATGAGAATGAAAAGTTATTTCATTTGATGGCCTGAGGTGTGGTCAGATAGACCTTTGCATGTTACTACTGTACGGTAAAAAATTAATTATAATTACTTTACTTTAGTTAAATATCAATGAGGCTAGGGAACAGTTGTTTAGTTTACTTTTAAAATAACATCTCATTTTTATTATTGTAAAAAAGAGAAATAACTGCAAAATGACTAACATACATTCATTCATTTCTCGTGCGTGCCTTGCATTCAGCGTCTCTTCAAGTTCATCTATGGATTGTTTACAATCCTCTTTTAGTTTTTCGACAAATTCTTCTTGTTGTTCTCTCAGAATCCGCTGGTCTTCCTCAAGTTGTAACTTTTCATCTGTTAGTGTTTCTAAATAATTAAAAATTAGATAGAAAAAGATTAGCAGAGCAAACAGTCTTTCTTTGTTTTAAACATTTATACTCTCACAATCTTCTCAACATTGTCCACAGAAAAATTAAAACAACTTCTATCTTTCAAACTTGTAAATTTGAAAGTGTTGCATAATATGTATAATTGATGCATATATTATCTACTCTCACCTGTTAGAGCACAAGCTTCCTGATACTTAGTTTCCAGTTCATTGATTCTTATTTTTAAGTCTGAACATGAGAACACATCCATCTGAAAATAAGAGTTTTATTGAAATACAGCATTAGAATGGTATATAAAAAAAACTTTTTTTTTTGACAATTAAAATTTATTTTGTTTAAATGCTTTTTACATAGACCTATATATTTTCAGAATAATTAATATAATTTAATCATGTGACTTATTTGCAGACTACAATATTTGCCTTGAACTCAATTGTTGGTCATTTTGACAATAAGCAAATCTGAAATTGGCCGGAGACAAACTCAACATTTAAGACGCCATGTTCTTCCTTTATCTGCGATATATTTATACATTCATTATCATCATCATTATTATTATTCATTTGGCAATCAAAGTTTAGGACAAAACCACAGATTCATGAAGTGAAAGATTCTGAGCAAGAGTGCACTAAAGTTATATAAAATTAAAAGATCACAAACACAATATGAATATTTAAAATATTTATTACATATGCATATAAATGAGCTTATAATATATACATATTTATAAATTTATTTATATGCATATTAATGAGCTTACACTATGCATATTAAAACTTATCAGATTATTATTAAGATTATATAATGCATCTTAGTAAGCTTAATATATAAATATATTATGCACATAATATGAATATTATAAATGCATACTAATGAGAGGGTTATGCATATTAATGAGCATCTTTATTATGCATATTAATGAGCTTACATCATGTGTGAGGTGCTGTAGTAAAATAGCAAAAGCATCAAATCCCGCGAGGCCTGTCTTCAACTGCATCTTGGTGAGATTCAACTCCTTGGTCATTGATTCGCAGAGAGCTTCCAACCGCTTGATCTCCTCCGCTGCTGTCTCGTTCGCTATGGAGGTTGACAGAAGGTCAGACGGTGTTGAGGTCGGAATTGTAGGTTTGATTTTAGTTGGTTTGGCGACTGCTTGGTTGGGATCTATCAAAAAACAAAATATATTTAGCAGTATAACAGACAAAACATTAAATGTCATTTTCATGTTTAAAATATCATGTAATATCAGTTTTCACTATTGTGCTGCCAGCTGCCTCTCCATCAAAATTCACCACTGACAAATTCAATGCTATATTCTTGTGATTATCTTTATCATCGGTATCAGATTATCTTATTTATCATACGAATACGAATACGAATAAAACTTTATTTTCGATCATATAAAATACAGAGAAAAAGCATCTTCAGTTGGCAAAATCAAAAAGTACAAATAGAATTTAAAAAGCATTATATATAAAAACAGTATAGAACAGGTACGGACATCATAACGTCAAAAAAAAAAAATCATGCATAAAAACAATAAGCCAAATATAAAATACAGCAACAACACAAGTAGGAAAGGAAGTAATGTTATTCTATCATCAGTATCAGATTATCTAATACTCATCATCATTATCATCAAGATTTATAATGAGTATTAAGGAAAACTCAAGCTAAAAAAAATAGAATGCAGTTAATAAAGAATATTAGAAACCCATACAATGCAATATTTATTGTGTAGCAATACTCAAATTTAAAGCATGTAAAAACACATTCCAACAAACCATTATAAACTGCCTGTCTACAGACATACGCCCTTCGAACTTTGGATTTTGGTTTAATTCCTTTGACAACCAAACATATTTTAATAACTGTGCATGACAGATAATGTTTTGGTCGACGTGCCATCTTCACTGATCCTTGTTTATTCATGATAAAACATAAAAATCAATCCTTTACAAATCTATTGAAATCACTTATCTTTGTAATAAACTATCATGCAAATTGCTTTGTGTAAACTACAACCCTAAATTTTGTTATAGATGAAAAGTTGTCAGTGTGATTATCAACAGTTACGAAGATGATTGAAAGGAAGCAATTAATTTTCCAGCATTTTGAGGATATTTCCCGTACGATTAAAATCGTAACGGTACTGGGTTTGGTCTACAGGAGCTCGTGTTTCGTACAGGTCATTCCATTCATAGAAAAAGCCTTTAATGGTGAAAGCGTACCTGTCATTAGCCGTAGTAGCCTAGGTCAATACATAACACCGGCTGTATAAAATGTATTATAAGATTGAAAATGTTAATCTTATTATTGCAGTAGTGATACACCATGTACACGGTTAAGTTATTGTTATTTTTTCGTTAACGTTATCATATTAATATATAAATTTAATGTGTTGTTTAAGTATGAATTACTATGTCCATGTTAAATTAATTTTATCTATTAAAATCGTGTATTTAAATAATATAGTAAGAGGCACTGATAGCCGAGGTCTAGCCTAGACCAGTCCTAAAACAAATGAATATGTGAGTGTATAAAACTATGAAAAATATGAAGGAAAAAACGCAAAATTGTGAAAGAAAAAAGGAAGAATAGGAAACAGATTTGGAGCGGCTGAAATATTTTCCGAAAATATACAATAGTAGTCAATATGCTATTATTGCATTACGTTTTTGTAAACAATTTTGGGCACTAATCGTCAGAGTTCTCGGTGCCACAGCCTACACTTTTCATAATTCGAAATCGAATCGGACCTTAAGTGATTTCCAAAATCTCTTTATATGAAATAAAGAATAATTAACGTTTAGAAAACAAACTAAAACAAATGTCTTACCTGGAAGTACGTGTAAATGTACAATATGATCGGATGAACATAATCATGAGTGCATCGTTGTATGTGTTTCTGTTGTTTGTTCTGAATAATGATGATGAACGTTCTTTTCCGTTTGTTTGAAAAATTTGCGCGTGTAGATAACGCGTGTAATTTTGTTCTGTAATTATACGCATTGTTATGCATGTACGCATCAACATCTACTTATTGTAGCGTATGAAAAAATAGGCCTACGTTAATTTTTAAATGCATAAAAATAAATTCGTCTTTTAATCACTTATTTAATAATTAATTATCTAAATTACTTGATAAATTATTTATTAATATTAAAAATTATTTAATATTTATGTGTGCAATGTAGATCGTATATAATTGTAAGAAATAAGACAGTGCAATGCATAAAAATAAATTCGTCTTTTAATCACTTATTTAATAATTAATTATCTAAATTACTTGATAAATTATTTATTAATATTAAAAATTATTAGAATATTTATGTGTGCAATGTAGATCGTATATAATAGTAAGAAATAAGACAGTTTTATTGTAGAATATAGCATAGTAGGTAGATTTAAGAAATAGGAAAATATAATTAGGTTAATAGTTTAGGGTGTATTAGGTTAATAGTTTATGCATTTTTAAATGCATAAAAATAAATTCGTCTTTTAATCACTTATTTAATAATTAATTATCTAAATTACTTGATAAATTATTTATTAATATTAAAAATTATTAGAATATAGCATAGTAGGTAGATTTAAGAAATAGGAAAATATAATTAGGTTAATAGTTTAGGGTGTAGCTTTTGAATGGGAGAAAAATGCCTGAGGTCACAGTCTGCACCTGACTCCTATGTCGGCACTAAGGCCTATAATGCATCTTGAGGATATTTCCCGTACGATTAAAATCGTAAGGGTACTGGGTTTGGTCTACAGGAGCTCGTGTTTCGTACAGGTCATTCCATTCATAGAAAAAGCCTTTAATGGTGAAAGCGTACCTGTCATTAGCCGTAGTAGCCTAGGTCAATACATAACACCGGCTGTATAAAATGTATTATAAGATTGAAAATGTTAATCTTATCTTGCACTCAGTGACTAGTGTTAAATCCATTTCCGTAGTAGCAGCAGGTACAGAAATGCTATTTTGATGTGCTTTTGTCAGGAAAATATCTTGGGTGTGAGGTTTTGCCCTAGTTGACATGTTATTCTACTGAATATTCGGTACATATACCGAAAAACATTTGCAAGTGATTCTGGTGGGAATCGAACCCAGAACTTCCGGATAAGTAGCCTGTTGTCATACACAATAGACTGATGAGTTTACGCTTAATGACTAAGTGTTAAATCTGAGTACCCCTTTTTTTATTGAAGCAGCTTCATGGTGTCACATAAAACGCCTCCGAACACTGGTTGTGTGTCCGCGCGCTTTTTCCAGCTGTGATTCTTGTTCATTGTTGAATTGGTTGTTGATTTACTTTAGTTCTTTAATTTCAGTCACCTGCTTGGAACAGAAGTGTGGGTACAACATTTGTACTCACTGAGGTCAGGAGGCAGAGTGACCCCAAGTTCATTCAAGCATTACAATATATACGTACTGGAAGGTTAGTGGATTTTGTATCATAGTAGTAATTACTGGTACTGGTATAGGCATTATACTTTATACATAGATTCTAAGCATCTAATTGGTTAAGAAGTGGGCAATAGAAAGAACTATTCCCCTTAAAAATATTCGCCTAGACCATAGTGGTAGGCCTCTAGGTGCTAGGCTGGGAAGTAAGTACTGTTTTAGGCCTTGTAGAATCTATGTATGAGGTATTAGAACAAATATCGAGTGCTCTAGATTCGGGGAACGGTGAAATCTATTGCCCCAAGGTGATGTGGAGACCATAGCCTATCTTCCCGAGGGCCAGCCATAGGCTACGGTCTCCATTTCTCCTCGGCAATAGATTTCATCATTTCCCTCATGAGCAGTCAATATTTGTATAATATTGCACCTCTTCCTTGAGGTTATAAAGTGCACTTTTCCCTATTCATTGGCTCACATACTTGAAGCGTTGCTGCTGGTAATCAGTACAGGAGCAGGCAAACCCACCAGGTACCCATTTATGCTCCTGGGTGGATAGAAGCAGTGCAGACAATGTGCCTTTCTCAAGGACACAAGCGAAATGCACAGAAAACTTGACCTCAAGGTTAGGAAACCAAACCGTTCCCGCTGCACCAAACAGCTTCCAAAATGGGAAGTGTATTTTAAATTTAACTTTCTATTGAATATATTCTATAAAGGTGTCCACCAGATGTACAGAAGCAACTAACAGCAACTGCATCACACTCAATAGATAGTGGTGGTATCCTAGCAACCAGACTTTGTACACACAAGGAAGATGTCAATCAAATCAATGAAATTCATCTTCAGAAACTTGAAGGTGAGAATAAGTTGGATATTTTAAGCCCTTACAAACCCCAAGTTCTTGGTCCTGTCTTGGTAAAGTGACATTTTTTTTCTAGAAAATAACTTCACTACAATAAAGCAATGAATTACAAGTTTTAAATGAACCATACTCATTATCAACTGGATTTTTAAAATATCTTGGTATCTTTTATTCCAAAATAAAAAACAAACCAATCTCATAAAAAATTAAAAAAATAGCAGCCCAGGCTGAATTACAATTTGAATGTACAAAATTAATAAATGAGAATAAAATTAATAATGAGTATATACAAATAAATAATTGAGGCATTAATTTAAATTGGAAGTATACAAATTAAAACAGCAAAGGACAAAAAAATTTACAATTAAAAATTCTTAAATTACAGTAGAACTTGGTTTTTACGTACCCCAGTTATACAAATTCTCAGTTTTACGTACACTTCGTACAGAAGATGGCGTCATCAAAGACCCCCCAAAATAAACAAAACAATCGGCCCTTTTCAGGGCCACCATAATGAAAAAGGATATTTGTTAGTTTCTGTCTGTTTACTGTATACTATATACAGTATACTATAACAATAAACAAACCATATGCAGAGTATTTGCATTTAACAGCAATGTTGGTTGTGTCTAATAAACATTCTGTTATAATCTAAAACCACGTGGACTGAGCGAGATGAACACCTACCGTCGGTGCTCAAAATTGTTCCTTTCCTACTTAACTTCGTGTAAAAAACTCACCTGGTCAAAGTGCGGGAGGCAGTCCCGATTTCTGGGGGACTCACAGGAGTTCCGGAAGACCCCTGTATTTATTAGATTAGTAGCCCTAATCCAAGTAGGCCTGCAATTGTAATATGCAGTTTCTGTCAATACAACATTTTTTTTATTGTAATTTTTACTCATCTACATCAGAAGAAATTATATATATTTCTTTCACTATATATATTTCTTTCATATTGTATTCTTTATAGGAGAGCCTCGGTTGTTTAGTGCTTTTGACAGCAACCCAGATCTCTCTCATCATATTGACAAGCATTGTCCTGTGGAGGAGAAAATTACACTGAAGGTTGGAGCACAGGTGAATGGAATGTTTGTGATACTTAATAGAAAATCAGTTACTAGATAAGAGGTGATGGATATGGTGATAATTAATTGTGTTGAGGATGATGGTGATATAGAGGATGGTTATGATACAGATGTTGAAAATGGTGATGCTAGAGGGAGATGGAAGACGATGATGGGGATGTAGCTAGTGATTGCAGTGATTATGTCATTGATGATGATTAGGGGTTCCAAGACTTGCGGAAATCAGGAAGGCCTTCCGCACTCCCGTAATCAAGAAGAATCTCCCTGGAAAAGTAACCTATGTCCCACAGAGTCACGATATTTGCAGGTTTTTACTACTGCACAGCAAAATAAAGTTAGATGTGTTAAGAAAAGCTCATTTAATTAAACAGACTTCCCGGCGGCTTC